CAGCAGCACCAGCAGCACCCGCAGCAGGACCGCCGCTAGGACTGACAGCAGTAGTCTCACCGCCAACACCCTCAGCAGCTCTGACTCCACTCGCACTCGCAGGCCCAGCAGCTCCAGCACTCCCAGGGCCAGCACCTCCGAGACCGGCGGCATCAGCACCCTCAGCAGCCGAAGAAGCACCAGCTCCAGCAGTACGCCTCCAGCGCCGGGCAAACCACTCGCGCAGCTCCTGTGGAGAGAGTGGCTCCCACCGAGACGAAGCACCCAGAGAACCACCAGGCCCAGCACCGCCAGACGCCACACGAGCAGGTCCTGCGGCCGCGGGCTCCGCACCCCCAGGCTCAGCAGCTCCAGACTCAGTACCCCGAGGCTCAGCAGCTACAGACGCAGCACCCCCAGGCTCAGCAGCTCCAGACGCAGCACCCCCAGGCGAAGGACCCCCAGGCTCAGCACCCTCAGTCGTAGCACCCCCAGTCTCAGTACCCCCAGGCTCAGCACCCACTCGCGCAGCACCCCCAGAGGCAGCACCCCCATGCTCAGCACGCGCAGCAGTTCCAGAGTCACCAGCAACCTCGACCGGCTCGACTGCGTCTACCTGGGACACACATGAAGGGGCAGGACCCTGAGGGGGGAGGGGGTCTACCTTGGGGGGATCTGGCACAAGGAAGTGCGGCGGCGGGGGGAGGGAAGGAGTGCGGTAGGGGAAGAGACGGTAGTAGGGGACCGACTCGTCAAACGTGACGTCCTGGGAGGACAGAACACGACGAGAGGAGGGGTGGTAGAACTGCCACCCTGGTGCGTCAGGGGGGAAGCCAAGGAAGACACAAGGAGCAGCACGAGGGGACAGTTTGTCCGCAGTCAAGTCGCGGACAAACGCCCGAGATCCCCAGACACGGAACGCAGACGCATCGCCTACCTTCCCCGTCCACAGCAGAGCTGGGGAGGTCTTCGGCATGGAGACCCTGGGGTGAAGGTTGATCTGATGCGCCGCGTACCGAACCGCAAACGGCCACAGAAAATGGGGGTAGCCGCATGCATCATGGACGTACGAGCAACATCCATGACCATGCCAATGCGGCGCTCAGCAATCCCATTTTGCTGTGGAGAGTCCGGAAGTGTAAAGGTCTGGCGGATGCCTCGCGCACGGCAGTAGGCTCGCAGAAGGCCAGGGGAGAACTCTCCGCCTCGGTCAGAGTGCAGACGCAGAACAGGAAAGTCCGAGCCGAAGCTCCTCCTGAGCTGGAGACGAGCTGCGCGGATCCAGTCGATCAACACCTCATTGACATCACCCTTGCTGCGCAAGGGGAAGACTGAGGTGTAACGCGAGTAGTCGCCAACCACCAGCAGGAAGTAGCGCTCGTGACCCTGTCCACGGACGCGGGCCGGGCCCCACACGTCCATGTGAAGCGTCTGCAGCGGGGCCTCTGTCGGGGGAAACTGAGAGGAGTGAGGGGCAGCACGGAGCCGCCCCTCGACACAGGGAACACAGGAAGGACCAGGCCCTGGAGGAAGGGGAGGGAGGGACCGGGGGAGACCAGAGACAAGGACACGGGAAGCCATGCCTCGGAGACGAGGCAGGGAGGGGTGACCAAGACGGTGGTGCCACAGGAGAGTCTCGTGAGACAGGAGGCGACACGAGCAGGGGGCAGACTCATGACCAGACCTGGACGCTGCAGCAAACACCTGACCCGACGCAGCTACCTGGCTAGACGCAGGGACAGGAGGAGACCCAGTGGTCAGGGTGTAGAGGCTGGACCCCGGCCTACGTGTAAACGTGGCCAGGTGCCGGCCTGTGCGAGCATCCGAGCAGTGGGTCACCCGCTGACTCGCAGGAGTAAACTGGTGAACTCCCGTATCCTGCAGGTCAGCACCACTCACCAAGTTCGTAGATAACGAGGGGAGGTAAAGACCAGACAAGGTGCCAGAGGGGGCAGCCGGACACGGGAGGACAGTGGAGAAGTGAAAGATGACAGGACCCCCAGAGGGGTCTGCCAGGGAGACTGCAACCGGGCGACCAAGCGGCGTGAGTGTGGTGCGGTCTCGAAAGAAGGAGCGAGAAGCCCCTGAGTCAAGTGTGAAGGTGAGGGAGGCCGAAGCCGACGTGGTACTTGAGAGCGCAGACTCACCAGCACCTAAGGGCGCAGACGCACTGGCACCTAGAGCAGCAGCCTCACCAGCACCTAGAGCAGCAGTACCAATGCCCGGGTCGGGCGGGAAACACCGGTAACAGTCACCCTCATCACTAATAGTCACAGCATACATGGCAGCAAGGATAGCATCAAAGTCAAGATCATAGATAGCTACGCCTGCCCTAGAAAGCTCTCCCCAGCGGGGGATCTCACTGGCCTCCGGGAACTGCTGACGCCAAGCGTCCGTCAGGCGGCCAAAGCAGCGCTGGGTGGGGTAGGCACCCCCACACTGCTCACCCGCGCGGTCGCCGGAGCGAAGGACGTAGGTGCACGGACCAAAACCCCCACCACACTGACGCTGCGCGTACCACTCACGGAGCTGCTGAGGGGGAGGAATGTCCCGAGAACGCTGCTGCTGCTGGCGCTGACCACCACCAGGGCTGCTCCGCTGCGAAGCGCCACCCCGACCACCGCCACCTCCTCCACCACTGCCTCCTCCACCTCCGCCACCACCGCCGCCTCCGCTAGCACCGCCTCCGCCTCCGCCGCCTCCGCCTCCACTGCTGCCACCGACACCTCCACCCCCGCCACCATTCCCACCGCCACCCCCACTCCCTCCGCCGCCTCCACCGCCACCTCCACCACCCCGGCTAGCTCCACCCGCGCCCTTGCCCCCCTTGCCCTTGCCAGAGCGGCGTCTCCCGCTAGGGGTAGACGCCGCACTGACCGACTCTAGACCAACGAGGTCGGCCGCAGTGGCAGAGGCGACACAGGGCAAAAGGGGGGAAGGAGAACACCCCTCAAAGATGGGGGTGCGAGGGTCACCACGAGAGGCTCCTACAGCGACTATGCTCTTCTCCGCTGCTAGGAGGGCCTTCTCTAAGAGGTCAACAGTGAGAGTGGTGGGACAGACTGAGAGGAAGTGGTCCCTGACTACACGAAGGGAGTCAAGGAGGCGGGTGACTATATAATAGAGAGTGATGTACATGGGGGGGGGGGGTTCTTGGCGCAGATTTCAGCAGGAAGCGCGGCGCGGTAGCGAGTGTCACTAGTGCAGAGGTGCGTACTGAGGTCAGCGACTGTGGGAAAGGCAGCAAGGTCAGGGAAGAGGTACGGTAGCATGAGGCGGCTCAGTGCAGCAGTGACAGGGGAAGAGTAGCGCGCAACTACAGCGTCGTACAAGGTCTGAGCACTCTTGTACTGACTAAAGTGCGCACGCTCAGTGGTAGGCAGGTGGCGACGCACAGCAAGACGTGTAGCAGCATCGCTCGTGGCCCACTGGGAGCGAACAGTGGGGTCAGCATCAGCAGCAGGGGCAGGAGATGCGCCAGAGGTGAGGTCAAGGAGAGAGAGACCGTCTGCCCTATCGCACTGTAAGAACAGCTGCAGGTCGTTGATCCAGACCTCAAAGTCAATGGCTCGACCCTCAGCGTCAAACGCGAGGACACTAGGGGTAGCCATGACAACAGTAGACTAGTAGTACCAACTGTAGGACAGGGGCAGTGCAGTGACAGAAGCGCTGCTCTCACCAGACAGGGCGGTTCGGGCAGCTCAGTAGCACAGTAACACGGCAATACGGCTGCTCGGACGGCTCAGCAGCAACTGCGGCTCCGCGGCACCAGTGGCTCGGCTCCTCAGGTGGCTCGGGCGGCTCGGGCAGGTCGAGCGGCTCGGGCGGCTCGGCTCCTCAGCGGCTCAGGCGGCTCGGGTGGCTCGGGCAGGTCGGGCGGCTCGGGCTGCTAAGGCGGCTCGGCTCCTTAGCGGCTCAGGCGGCTCGGGCGGCTCGGGCGGCTCGGGCGGCTTGGGCGGCTCGGGCGGCGCAGGCGGTGTAGGGCGGTAGGGCCGCTGGTAGGGCGGCGGGGCTGCAAGGTAGGTGGCGGGGCCGCCGTGGGAGGGGCGGCGGGGCCGGAGTGAAGGGCGGCGGGGCCGCCGTGAAGGGCGGCGGGGCCGCTGAGAAGGGCGGCGGGGCCTCAGTGAGAGAGGCGGCGGGGCCGCAGAGAACGGCGGCGGGGCTGCTGAGAAGGGCGGCGGGGCCGCAGCGAGAGAGGCGGCGGGGCCGCAGCGAAGGGCGGCGGGGCCGCTGAGACGGGCGGCGGGACCGCAGCGAAGGGCGGCGGGGCCGCTGAGAAGGGCGGCGGGGCCGCAGCGAGAGAGGCGGCGGGGCCGCAGCGAGAGAGACGGCAGGGCCGCAGCAAAGGGTGGCGGGGCCGCTGAGACGGGCGGCGGGGCCGCAGCGAAGGGCGGCGGGGCCGCAGTGTTGGGCTGCGGGGCCGCAGCGAAGGGCGGCGGAGCCGCAGCGAAGGGCGGCGGGGCCGCTGAGAAGGGCGGCGGGGCCGCAGCGAGAGAAGCAGCGAGGCCGCAGTAAAGGGCAGCGAGGCCGCTAAGACGGGCACCGTGGCCGCAGTGAAGGGCGGCGGGGCCGCAGTGAAGGGCTGCAGGGCCGCAGCGAAGGGCGGCGGAGCCGCAGCAAAGGGCCACGGGGCCGCAGCGAAGGGCGGCGGGGCTAAATCAACGGGCTGCGGGGCCGCTAGGGCGTTGGGGCCGCTAGGGCGGCTCGACGAAGTGAGAGCCCGGAGTGCGACTCAGGCTGAGCGCGCTTCGGGCAGGAAAAAAAAACTAGATGTGATGGGCCCTAGGCACAGTTCCCACGGGGGAACCTGCTCGATACCATGAGGAAATTAGAACGAGAATGAAATTGACTATGGAATGAAAGTGATACAAATATGCAACCCTAGAAATGTGTACCCCATATGGGCTACCCCACTAAAGCCTAGACAACATTATAATTTGACAGGTATGCAAGGTCAGGTCGAGTGTAGGTCATCAGGTACATGAGGCAGCCAACAAGCTCTGGGTACGGGCCACTCGGCTCTACGGACTCATCCGAAGGCAGAGCTGAGAGTAAGTGGCGAGTAGGTAGAGGAGTGGCCTGAGGCGAGGAGTACGTGAAGCCGAAGCGCTGAAGGACCTGCTGCACCATATGTGACTGAGTCAGGGTAATGGTGCGGCGTGCTCTGTCCCGGGTGATCTGCAAGCCAAGGTAGCTGCGCAGTTCACCCAGGTCTGTGCACGTGTGTCTCTTCTGCAGCTCGGACTTCACGTGGGCGAGTCCAGCAGTGTCAGCAGTGGCAAAGACCAAGTCGTTGACGTACACGAGGATGTAGAACGGCGGCAAAGAAGTGTCGGTGCGCAGAAACAGCGACGAGCCGGCAGTAGAGGGAGCAAACCCAAGAGCTGCAAGTGTAGTCCTCAGTGTGTCGTGCCACTCACGCGGTGCTTGGCGGAGACCGTAGACTGGCCGCCGGAGGCTCCACTGGGTGCCAGGAGGAAAAGACCCAGTGATGCCAGGTGGGCGGCGCAGCCAGATCTCCTCGTGCAGGCTGCCCTGCAGGAAAGTAGTGCTGAAGTCAAGAGAGTGAAGGTCGTAGTCACGGTGAGCAGCTATGTGCAGCAGTACCCGAAGAGTGGTCATCTTCGGGGTGGGAGAGAAGGTCTGAAAGTAGTCAACTCCCTGCCGCTGACTGAAGCCACGAGCCACGTAACGCGCCTTGAAGACACGCGGAGAACCCGGCGACCGCTTCACCCGGAAAATCCACATGCCACTGACGATGTTCGCCCCAGGCGGGGGAACCTTGTCAACCTAGGTGCCTGTGGACTTCCAGGAAGCCATCTCTGCATCCATAGCTGCCTGCCACTGAGAGGAGTAGAGACCCTCTATCGCCTCCGCGTAAGAGCGCGGAGTCGGGATGTCAAGTGCATCCGGGTCTCCCTCAGGGGTAAGCAGTACGGACACGAAATGAGGTGAAGCAGCAGCCAGACACTGGAACTCCTCCTGCCTGTCCTCAAGGACGTCCGTGCCAAGGGCACACTCACCCTCAACGGACGGAGGACAGACAGACTCAGACTCAACAACAAGACTAGGGGCGTAGTCTAGGCGACAGCGAGCAGCAAAGTCGACGAGCTCAGCAACTAGGGCAGACGCAGCAGTGGACTCGTCAGACGCGTGATAGTAGGACTGGCGGCACGAAGAGAGTCCAACTCCGGGTCAGCAAGAGCAGGAAGAGAAGACTCAGGAAGAGAAGGTAAAGGGGCACGCAAAGGAGCAGTGGACGGACGCAGAGACATCCGGTGCGTGCCAGGGACAGGAGGAGGACGCTGACGCGAACCGCGACCACTAGTGCGAGCAGCACGGACAGGCGACGCAGGGCGAGACGCAGGCTCACGACGCTCAGCAAGACCTCCAGTAGGACCAGTGTAGGGAGACGGAGCAGGTAGTGGGGAGGCCGGCTGTAACTGTAACTGTGATGGGACAGGCTGTGGACACTCGAAGGGAGGAGGAGGACCAGTAGAAGGCGGGAGACCAAGAACCTGCTGAAGGAGCGGAACGAAGTACAGCCGAGGCCGCGCGGCGACTCCAAACACAGCAGGGACAGCACCAGTACCCCCAGCGGCAGCACCAGCACCAGCACAACCTCCAGCTCCAGTACCTCCAGCAGCACCAGTAGCACCCCCAGCAGGACCGCCTCCAGGACCGACAGCAGTAGCCTCCGCGCCAACACCCGCAGCAGCTCCAACTCCAGAAGTACCCGCAGGCCCCGCAGCTCCAGTACTCCCAGTACAAGCACCTCCGGGACCCGCGGCACCAGCACCCTCAGCAGCAGCAGAACCTCCAGTACCCGCAGCACCTCCAGCTCCAGCAGCTCGCCTCCAGCGCCGGGCAAACCACTCACGCAGCTCCTATGGAGAGAGTGGCTCGCGGCGAGAACGAGGCACCCGGAGAACCGCCAGGCACAGCACCGCCAGACGCCACACGAGCAGGCCCAACTCCCTCAGGCTCAGCACCTCCACGCGTATCACCCCCAGGCTCAGCACCCTCAGCAGCACCAGAGTCACCAGCGACCTCGACAGGCTCAACAGTGTCTACCTGGGACACACCTGAAGGGGCAGGACCCTGAGGGGGGAGGGGGTCTACCGAGGGGGGACCTAGCACAAGGAAGAGCGGTGGCGGAGGGAGGGACTGAGTGCGGTAGGGGAAGAGACGATAGTAGTGGACCGACTCGTCGAACGTGACGTCCTGGGAGGACTGAACACGGCGAGAGGTGGGGTGGTAGAACTGCCACCCTGGCGCGTCAGGGGGGAAACCCAGGAAGACGCAGGGAGCAGCACGAGGGGGCAGCTTGTCCGCAGACAAGTCGCGGACAAACACCCGAGATCCCCAGACACGGAACACAAACGCATCGCCAACCTTCCCCGTCCACAGCAAAGCTGGGGAGGTCTCCGGCATGGAGACCCTGGGCTGAAGGTTGATCTGATGCGGCGCGTACCGGACCGCAAACGGCCACAGAAAATGGGGGGCAGCCGCATGCATCATGGACGTACGGGAGACGTCCATGACCATGCCAATGCGCCGCTCAGCAATCCCATTTTGCTGTGGAGAGGTCGAAAGCGTGAAGGTCTGGCGGATGCCTCGTGCACGACAGTAGGCTCGCAGAAGGCCAGAGGAGAACTCTCCGCCTCTGTCAGAGTGCAGACGCAAAACAGGAAAGTCCGAGCCGAAGCTCCGCCTGAGCTGGAGACGAGCTGCGCGGATCCAGTCGATCAACACCTCAGTGACATCACCCTTTCTGCGCAAGGGGAAGACTGAGGTGTAACGCGAGTAGTCGTCAACCACCAGAAGGAAGTAGCGCTCGTGACCCTGTCCACGGACGCGGGCCGGGCCCCACACGTCCATGTGAAGCGTCTGCAGCGGGGCCTCTGTCGGAGGAAACTGAGAGGAGTGAGGGGCAGCCCGTTGCCGCCCCTCGACACAGGGAACGCAGGTAGGGCCAGGCCCCGGAGGAAGGGGAGGGAGGGACCGGGGAAGACCAGAGACAAGGACACGGGAGGCCGTGCTTCGGAGACGAAGCAGGGAGGGGTGACCAAGGCGGTGGTGCCAGAGGAGAGTCTCGTTAGACAGGAGACGACACGAGCAGGGGGCAGACTCAGGACCAGACCTGGACGCTGCAGCAAACACCTGACTCGACGCAGCTACCTGAACAGACGCAGTGACTGGAGGAGACGCAGTGGTCAGCGTGTACAGGCTCGACCCCGGCCGACGTGTAAACCTGGCCAGGTGTCGGCCTGTCCGAGCGTCCGTGTAGTGGGTCACCCGCTGACTCGCAGGAGTGAACTGGTGAACCCTCGCATCCTGTAGGTCAGCACCACTCACCAAGTTCGTAGAGAACGAGGGGAGGTAAAGACCAGACAGGGTGCCAGAGGGGGCCGCCGCACACGGGAGGACAGTGGAGAAGTGAGCAAGGACAGGACCCCCAGAGGGGTTTGCCAGAGAGACTGCAACTGGCCGACCAAGCGGCGTGAGTGTGGTGCGGTCTCGAAAGAAGGAGCGGGAAGCCCCCGAGTCAAGAGTGAAGGTGTGAGAGGCCGGAGCCGGCGCGGTACCTGAGAGAGCAGACTCACCCGCCCCTGAGGAAGCAGACTCACTAGCACCTAGAGCAGCAGCCACACCTGTACCTGGAGCAGGAGACTCACTAGCACCCAGAGCAGCAGCCTCACCAGCAGCTAGAGCAGCAGGCTCTATACCCGGGTCAGGCGGTACGCACAGGTTACCGGCACGGTCAGCACTAGTAGGCAATGCATACATGGCAGTGAGAATAGCATCATAGTTGAGAGCAAATATATCTACCCTCTGCCTAAGCAACTCCACCCAGTCGGGGAGCTCAGCCTCGTCGCCTAACTCGGTACGCCTGGCATCGCTCAGACGGGCGAAGCAGCAGGATTGTGTGTAACTAGGTGTCCCACAAGGCTGACCAGTCCGAGCACTAGTGCGAATCACGTAAGAGCAGCGAATAGAACTGAGAGACCCTCTACTCTGAGCGTACCACTCACAAAGCTGCTGGGGCGTGAGAGACGCGCGTGGGCGTCGCTGGAGCTGCATCTTGCTGCCGCCAGTAGTAGTAGCAGCAGTAGTGGTAGCAGTAGCAGCGCCGCCACCCCTACAACCCCAACCAGCGTACCACTCACGCAGCTGCTGGGGCGTGAGGGACTCACGCGGACGTCAATGGGGCTGCATCTGGCTCCGCCAGTAGAAGCAGGAGCAGGAGTAGCAGCAGTAAGGCAGGGAGCCAGGCAGGCCTAAAGGCAGGCAGGCAGGCAAGCAGGCGGGTTAGCGCGCTAGAAGGGCAGGGGCTCACCAGTGGTGGGAAGAGCAGGCTCGGCGACTCGGCGGTGCGGGCGGCTCGGGCGGCTCGGCGGCACGGCGGCTCGGCAGCAACTGCGGCTCGGAGGCTCGGGCGACTCGGGCGGCTCGGCAGCAACTGCGGCTCGGCAACTCGGCAACTCGGGCGGCTCGGGCGGCTCGGCGGTACGGCGGCTCGGCAGCAACTGCAGCTTGGCGGCTCGGCGACCCGACGGCTCGGGCGGCTCAGGTGGTGCTGCGGCTCGGGCGGCTCGGGTGGCTCGGGCGGTTTGGTAGCAGGTTGGCGGCGCCGGCGGCTCGGTGGTGACGGCGGGGCCGCTTGGGGACGGCGGCGGGGCCGGGTGGAGCGGCGACCAGGCCAGCAGAGGTGGCGCCGGGGCCGCAGGGTAGGTGACGGGGCCAGCAGAGGCGGCGCCGGGGCCGGGAAGGGCGGCGCCGGGGCCGCAGAGGTAGGCGACGGGGCCAGTAGAGGCGGCGCCGGGGCCGGTAAGGGCGGCGTCGGGGTCGCCAGGGTAGGCGACGGGGCCAGCCGAGGTGGCGCCGGGGCCAGGAAGGGCAGAGCCGAGGCCGCAGGGGCAGGCGACGGGGCCAGCAGAGGCGGGGCCGGGTCGGGAAGGGCGGCGTCGGGGTCGCCGGGGTAGGCGACGGGGCCAGCCGAGGTGGCGCCGGAGCCAACAAGGGCAAAGCCGAGGCCGCAGGGGCAGGCGACGAGGCCAGCAGAGGCGGGGCCGGGTCGGGAAGGGCGGCGCGACGGGGGTTCCCCCCTGCGTCTTCCTGGGGTTCCCCCCCGCTGCCCTTGGGTGGCATTTCTACCACCCCACCTCTCGCCGTGTTTTGTCCTCCCAAGACGTCACGTTCGACGAGTCAGTACCCTACTACCGCCTCTTCCCCTACCGCACTCCGTCCCTCCCCCCGCCCCCGCTCTTCTTGGTACCAGGTCCCCCCCCGGTAGACCCCCTCCCCCCTCAGGGTCCTGCCCCTTCAGGTGTGTCCCAGGTAGACACGGTCGAGCCTGTCGAGGTCACTGGTGACTCTGGTGCTGCTGCGGTTGCTTAGCCTAGGGGTGCTGAGACTGGGGGTGCTGAGCCTAGGGGTGCTGAGCCTGGGGGTGCTGAGCCTAGGGGTGTTGAGCCTGGGGGTGCTGGGCCTGGGGGTGCGGAGCCTGGGGGTGCTGAGCCAGGGGGTGCTGAGCCTTGGGGTGCTGAGTCTGGAGGTGCTACGCCTTGATGTGCTTTGCCTGGGGGTGCTGAGCCTGGAGGTTCTTCGCGTGGAGGTTCTCCGGGTTCTTCGTCTCGCCGGGAGCCACTCTCCCCACAGGAGCTGCGTGAGTGGTTTGCCCGGCGCTGGAGGCGTGCTGCTGGTGCTGGAGGTTCTTCGGCTGCTGAGGGTGCTGCTGTCGCGGG